AAAGAATGTTTGGACTTGTGGACAGACTGCCTCTGCGATCTCAGAGGGCCCCAATCTTGGAAGCTGATGTCGATAATGGAGCGGCAGTAGAGACTGAGGATAAGGGGGGTGTGTGTGTGTGTGTGTGTGTGTGTGTGTGTGTGTTTGTGTGTAATAAAGGTCAGGAGAAACAGGGCATCAGGGGAAGAGGGTGTGCGAGTTTAAGAAAAGGATTATCCCACTAATAACAAGATGTTTTAACACACACCAACAGAAAAGAATGTTTCATCTACAAAGGCCTAAAGGTCTCAGCGCACCTCTCCAAGACTTTTCCCAGACATCAGCCAGAAAAAAAAATACTGGCTTGATATAAAAAAAAGGAGGGAGGAAGTTGGGTGTTAACTGACCCATGATATCAGTTAAATAAAAGAACTTTAAAAAAAAAAAAAAAAACGGTGTTTCTGAAAAGTCGAACGCATTACAGGATAGGAAATTCGATTTGAAAGTAACATTTCCATCGTTCTCAAAGCTGGGTCTCTGTACGACAGAGATGTCACTGGGTGGCTAATTAGAGCTGGCAGAAAGGAACGTGTGCCTAGATATCATCTATTGTTCCTCATCACTCTAATGAGCTTAAATGTCTTTGTCTTTATTCATCAGCTCAAAGGTTGCAGAGTTGCTGCAATAGAGTCACTATCTTTTCATATACAATCTATTACAACATCAAGCGATTGAAGCTCTAGTTGCATCTTCCCAAAGCCCGCTGCCATTTGTGCCCTATAAGCTGGGCTACTTTCAAGACTCACACGCCTTTGTGCTGTAAAATGTTCCATCTGCTGAAAACAATCTTAAAAATACAAAATATAATGTAAAAGTATTAAAGAGCCAACTTGAAAAACTGTTTTGTGTGCAACATCAAGAAGTTTGCAGTTGGGTTTGGCACAGAGAAAAAGAGTGTATATGGATGAGAGCAGTGAGAGCACTTCTTTCTATTGAAGTGTTGAGTGTTGAAAGAAGGGAAACTGGGGCAAAAAAAAAGAGGCAGAGGTGTGTAAGGAGAACAGAGATAGACCTGTTATCATGTAACAGAGGCCCGAGTTGACCTGACCTTGAACACACGAGTGTGCACACATGCACACACACACACAAGCTGGGTCACGGGGCATAAAGAGCCACTGTGTCAGGTCACAGAGCACAGAGAGAAGGATAAAGGACTTGAGGGATGTGATATGACTAATATGAGGGATTTTGCAGGCCTTCAGGGGGACTGGCGTTACAGCCAGGGGTGACTGACACTGCTGATCTGTATCACACATCAGAGCAGATCACAGCGGAGGAGAGCAGACCAACCACACACATGAAATATGGACACACAACCGACAAAATCCAATTTAAAAATCCACACAAACAAGGATACTTTGACATGAACAAAGAGAGAGGATTTAAATTACAAGCAACAAATCAAAATGTTTTATAGTTATGCAGTTATCTTTTAGAGAATGTTTATATTCTCGCTTGCCTTTGAAGTCTTCCGGACACAAGGACGTCATCTGTTTTATGAAAATAAACCCTTATACCATAGACGTCCAAAAGTGAACAATCCCCCCCCCGCCACTGACAAAACTGTTATTTCTCCCCCTCAAAGAGCGGGTTCAAAGATCAGCACCTAGCAGGATGGGATGAGGTACGCAGTGGCTTGCATGTCTATCAGGTTACAAACTTCAAAGACACACTGCCATACACAGCCAGCGATGAGAGCAAAGGAGCCAACGATAGGGCCACATTGTCATTCTGCCATTATCACTACTGCCAGGGGATGGACGGCTCATTTTTTCTATCATAATTGGGCTTTTTTTCCCCCTCTATCAACAATGGTTCGGAAGAATATGATCTCTTCCTTTGAGTCGTTTGAATGGCTCCAAACATTCTCTGAGAGGCCAAAGCGTAGCAAGTCTCCCTGGTTTGTCAGCTTCTAGGACTGATCCGTAGATGGCACTGTTGGCTCATGCTACGGGTGTGTTGCCAGCACTGCAAAGGAGGAGGAGGGAAAAAATATCCACTTAAAACTCATCAACTCCGGATCTGAGAAAAAAAAAATTCTTTCATCTATGCTCAAGTGTCATTTGCCAAATATAATCTTGTAACTTCTAATTAATTCAAACTGCTAGAAAGAATCTTTCAAAATATCACACTTTCCAAACAGAACACATTTTTTCATGCTAAAACTGTTCTTTTCCAGTGAGGATGATTTAACAGCTCATTATCAAAAGAAGTGTATTTTCTGCCCCCCCCCCCCCATCATTTCCTTCACCAACCAACAACATCACAAACTTTGCAGTGGAAAAAAAACATTTTTTTTCCCGGGTAAACCAGGCATATGTGTTGGACATAACTGAATGTGACCATAACCCATGACTTTTTAAGAGGAGATTTGAGATCTGACAGAATTGTGTGATTTTCTAAATACAGAGGATGCAATGACTTGGATGAGTCCACTACCCTTCACAGTGTGGTAAAAACGGTGACAATTAGTGAGAGTGCCTAAAAAGAAACTTGAGAGAGCAGTACCTTGAAATTTGAGTAAAGAAAGTTGTACTCTTATGGTTGACATCACTCAGTGAAAAAGAGAGGAAGACTGTTGTTTATGGTTCAGGTCCGTTGATGACGGTGAGAGGGGTAAACGGGGAGACGGCTAGAGGTTTGGTAGCCTGTGAGGGCCCCATGGGAGACCAACTGCCCTGATCTATGGCCCGTCTAACTGGTGAGGTCAGACCAGAGAAGCCCTGGAAATGGGAAATTAGCAGCCCTTTGCAATTAGAGCCCTGACCACAGGCAGCGATTGTATATTGAATCATGTACCAGAGAGGTGTCCACTATTTGACTGCGAATACTCATGAGTGTCCAGAAAACAGAAGTTGGACTGCGTGAATGTGTGCATACTCACAAGAAAACCCACAAACAAGAGCTTTCTCGTGTAGCCACATGTGTAAACCCTGCGATTTATACAGAAGACGACAAAGAAAGTCAGGCTGAGGGCGCGAAATGCCCTTAGGCAGGCTGACTGGCCCTTGCCACCCAGGCCGTGTGCGGACATGCAGGGGCCCTGAAGCAGCCCTCAGCTCCGGATGAACATGTCTCCACACAGACCTACAGGAAGAACCAAGCATCCCCCCCCTTCTCTCTCATTTACACCACGTCAAGCCAACTCCCATCTCAACAACAAACTCCTATCCACCATCCCATAAGAGGCTCTTAAATTTTGATGCTGCAAGCTAAAATGAGAGGTTGTGTGGGGCTGCAAGTGTTACACAGGATCAATCCCACACCCTGTTTGTGCTGACAGCAGGGAGAGCTGTTGCTGCTGTTGAAGAGTGCGTCCAGGTAGTATCCTCATGGCTGCAGGCGGTCAGGTAGGCAGGCAGTGCCAGCGGTGTGTTAAACACACATGCAGTTGTCTCAAACCTGTCAGTCAGCCACCCTGTACCACATCAGACCACCGGGGTCTCATACATAATTTGGCATCAAATGAATATTTTCTCAACGTCCTGGCAAAAGTGGTATTTGATTAAATATTAACTTTGTGATTAATTTTTGCATCTGATCTTCTGTCAAGTGAGATAAAAAAAAAGAATGGAATTTTTCCTGTGAAGCCAGTTGTTGAAGGGCACCTCGCTCCAACTTCACACATAAAACTTTAATTAACTGATACAACAGGCACGCTATTTTTCCAGAGTAAGATAAAAGGGGAAACTTAGTCCACTTTGAAAGTGAAATCAAGACATACTAAATAAGACAGACTAAAAGCACTAACATGGCTTTTTAATTCTCTGAGCAGCTTGGTTGCACTTTACAATAGGTGCTAAGGACTGTTAGTGTACACCAGGCCAGATGAAGCTAGACAAGGAGGGTCTCTTTGAGGTAGTGCTGATGGGCTACTAAGTGACTCTGAATCCACAGAGAATGACTTGTAAAACATCTCAACAGTGTGACATATGTCATGAACCTTAGCCGAGATGAGAAGTTTAGTAGTGCTCTGAGAGCTTGTTCACTAAAAAGCAGTCAAGCATATGTCAGTGGTGGCAAGGAGTCAAAACGATGACTGCTTTTGTATAAGCTCAATGAAGCATCGCAATAGTGAGTTCACATAATTAGGGTGTATTGTAAGACTACTCTGAATAAGATTCACTCTCTATTTCATTCATGTGTGAAGCCTGTGACATCACATGTGGAAATAAAATTAGAATTTGGTCGTATTCTAGATTTACGGTCTGATGGTTTTATTAATGAATGGTCTTGTCCAATCACTCCTGTACAGTTATTTTAATGTACATATACATTTGTGCATATGTAGGTTTGTGTATATGTGAATGTGTGTGCATGTCTTTTAAACAGCTCTATTTTTGAACATGTACATAAATAAAATTAATAAATAAAATAATGGAGAGAAAAAAAAATACCGACCTAAATTGATCCCTTGGGATATAACGTTTAATTCTTTGTTGCTTAATTCAGTGATACCAGAAAAATATAAAATTATCGAATGAAGGGTTTTAGTGTACCAACATTCTTACTAAATTAAAGTCACAATCAAATGGCATTTTAAAGAACATATTGCTTTTTTTGATTTAATGTGTTTCTTGTTGAAGGAGAGTTCTGTTGTGACAACTTTAAAAAGCCAAGCAAACAAATGGCGGGTGAAGAAACTGGAACTTATACAAAGATAAAGAGACCCAGATATTTTCAAGGATTTCTAAGGAGGCTGACACACATGCACAATACAGTATGCTTCAGTTGGTTTGATGTATTAGTAACTGTCAGTGATGAGTATAATAATAAGTGTCACATATTATAAAAATAAACAAACTAGTAAAGTGGTTGTGTGTATGGAAAATAAGAGGGGAGGGTCTTTCAAGTATTAAGGCCTGAGGATCTGTGTTGAAACCCTAAAGTGCAGCCGCATTCACTCGCAGTGCTAGGATAATAAAACCCTCTCTGAGTAAAAGTGGGGACAGAGAGTATACCTTGACAAGGTGCAGCAGCTCATACAGGTCCTCCACTTCATCCCCCTCTGTTTTACTGTAGTTTCTGCTGATGTCCAGACTAGAGCCCTGGATGGTGCGTCGATAAAGGGGCAGATCCATGCATTCAGCATACAGCTCTATGGCCTGGTGGCCCACTGTCTGGTACATGTAGCTGTCCAACTCATCTGGGGTTGGAAGAAAAGATGTTAAGACCAGTTTCAGGTGATAAGCCACTCATTATGTGTTTCATAAACAGTAATAACGAGTATATGTGATGTTGCAGTTTTTTGGAAATAGTTATGGGTGAACAGACATCCACAAGTTAATTTCAGATCTTAACAAGTGATGTACAAACAGACAGATATATTTATATATAGATAACATTAGACTACAGGGCCATATGACATTCACAATTTAAACCATTCACTACACAACATTATGATAATGGGATGGCTGGAAGAAATATAAGAAATATATATATATATAATAAGAAAATGTAATAAATTCAATATTATTCAAACTCAACTTATTATCGCTTTATTCTGAAAAGTGACACAATGAAATAAGAGTTCCTTGAAAAAATGAAAAATGTCAGCATGAAATAAAACAAACAAACATCAGTCACCATAAACATTTCAATAATAATAGTTTTAATAAAATATTGAAACATTTAACGATTCATTATCTCATTTAGCTTATAATGTATTTGATATGAACACTTTACTTTTTGTTTTTATTATTTATTTACTTTTGGACCATTCTGAATTCCATGTATCAAGAACCAAAACCTAGTGTGTACTAGAGGATAATAGCACACTTTTTATATATTTAATGTGTAATAACTCTGCTAGTATCCATCTTCTTTTCAACCAAAGTAACCATGAACCATAGTGGGGCTATAACTAACATTTGTCTCATTATCAATCAGCCGGCAGATTATTTTCTCAATAAACAGATTAGTTGTTTGGTCTGTTAAACATCAGAAAATATTGAAAAATGATTAATCACATTGATGTCTTTGATTGCTTTGTTTATTCACCCAACAGTCAAAAATCCAAGATTTTCAATATACATTAATTTAAGACTAGATTAATTAAGCTGAAGCCTCAACATATATAAGGTGTTCATGCTTTAAAGTTTACTTTAATGATTATCAGATTTCATTTTCTTCCAATCAACTCATTGATTCATCGCCTAATGGTCGCAGCTCTAAACCATAGTACACCAGTTAGCATGCAATAAACACTCCTGTGGTATTTACACTAACTAAAGTTCTGCAGTACTTTGATTGTGTACATTTCTGAAGTGTGTTGGACCGCAGAGGTGCAGCTGGCTGGCCCATATCGCGCAGGTAGCCCCTGTGGATCATATAAAACCTCAGCAGTGCATCTTCCTCACCTGTGTTAGCAGGACGGAGGTTGGCCAGAGCTACGATCCGGTGCCCAGCGGTAACACACTGCATCATGTTGTAGCAGCTGTCTTTGCCCCCACTGGACCACAAGAGAAACAGCCACAGAGGTAAAGCTGAGTTTGAATCATTAAGATGCAGACCTATACATTATCAGGGGGTGTGCGGTTAGTGGTCTGGGAATGTGATGCAGTATTAATATTCGTGTTTGTGGTTGTGCTTATTAAAAAAAACCCGAGGATGCTTTATTCTAAACTGTCTTCATTACCACTGTAAGTTAGCTACAGTGGGCTTCTTGCATTGGTTTATAGTCCTTTACAGTCGATAACGTTGGTCTTCTACAAGTGGCGTGGTATTTTCTTTGCTTTGAACACAGTTACAGGTGAAGTAAAACACTTTACATCAAACAGGAACGAGTTATGTGGCGTTTGTTCGCAGCATCCATGCTACATGCTACTGACATGCTAGCAGGAAACATCCGGGACAGAACTGAGAACACGCGCCGTTACCTTATTAACGCGACCACTTTCATCTTCTTATTCCCTCAAGAGTCTACTGACATCAACAATGCTGGCCGTAATGGTGCACAGTGTGGTAACTGTGCTTAGCAACCGGTGCATGTACACAACAACATGTGAGAGCCAGACTTCCGGGTTATTGAAGGACCCCCCCCCTATATATACCAAGTCGCCCTCTAATATGCCTGATAGAAAGTCGGCATTTTCTCTCAATTATCTTCATCTTCTCCCCATCAGATTAAAACTTTAAGTTTTGCTTAACGGGCATAGGCATGATTGAGTACAGTATTGACAGGTTGTTCGAAGTTAAAAATGTAAGTATAATGATTAAGAATTTTTATGTTTTAGAAAGCGAATTAATTGTGTTCACCACAATGGATATACTATAATGAAAGACATGTGACACCGGTCACAACCAAATAATTGAAAATCATACAAAAAATAAATAATAGTAATGATTTAGGATAAAATGAATGTCAGAAAAACTAGATAAATGTATAAAATTGCATTACTTTCCTATTCACTAACACAACAGCACAAACAAACAACTATGCAGACATTTTTATTTTTATTTCACATGTTAAATTTAAATTAGCTGTAAGACATCATATGTGATTCCAAGAATTTCACATGTAATATTGCAGGAAATGCATTTGATGTGATGAATTTCACATATTTTGAAAACTGCCATTTAGAATACTGCCAATGCACACTGTACATAATCAAAGTGGATGTGCACTGTAACTCTTATACTGACACTGACACGCATCCTTTGGCTCTTGTGTCTCAAGAGTGGACCAAAAGTCCATGCACTGGTATTCACACACAGGTTGCAGTTTTCCTCTGAGGGAGCCCTATTTTGCTCAGAGGAAAGCCTTTGATGCTCTTTTTGCTCTCTGTTGTTGTGCCAGAGCAGAATAATTGCACTGCTTTTGTGTGCTTCCCTCACCTTCTACCCCTAAGCAGGCTAAAGGCAACTGATTTTGTTTGAATGTACAAAATTGAGAGAGACGTCTCTTCATCCCATTGCTTTTAACTAGGTTCCCTTTTTTGTTTTTGTTTGGTTTTTGTTTTATTCATCCTGAAAATATGGCAACATCTACAACCTGCAGATGAGCACCATTTGTGCTGTGGTACAGACTGAGAACAGGGATCGCTTTTGTTGATGAATATGCTGTTGATTTACTGCACATCGGTGATTTGATATGACACATTTTTTGGATTCCTACGTTTTACAAAAAGATGACCAAGTAAAAAAATGTATGTTTTCAGTTTTGTATATTTTCTTTCATTCCTTGATCCTTTGTTTGATTGTTTCCTTATTTCTCCATTTACAGTATTTTCTTTATTTAACATGGACAGTTGTTCTTTTATTATTTAACATGGCTACCATAAACTTCCACTTCCAAGTGTGACGTACTGGACAGGTAATGTTCATCCTCCCCTGGGCAAATGAACCAAAATACAATACATGCACCATGACAAAAAAGCAACTACAAATAAATTAGTGGAATGAATATTTCACAAAGTGTTCAAAACTTCCTTTGACAAGATGAGTGATATAGTTTTCAAAATGTTTCTATGGCATATTAGAAAAATGGCCTTTACTGGGAGAGAGCAGGACACATCCCCCTGGGTCTGGTTGTCCTTCAGTTTTGTAAACTCTTCAATATATCACCTATGTTTTCCAATTTTGTGGGTAATACTTTATATAATACAGCTTCACTGCCTCTGGTAATTTCCATTAAAGCCCAGGCCCATAGGATATGACCAATGCAAATTGTGTCACTTATCAGTTTTAATTTATGTAGTTTATTACCCAGACAAATAAAGAGGTGTGTTGTTCCAGTTTTATTTGTGGCAGCATTTTGCTGACGTAAAAGAGCGTTTTATGTCCGTATTGTTGGTGAGATGGGGATAAAAGTGTTGATGGATAGCCCAACTGAGACACAGCCAATGGACATGAATATGAGGCGCATAAATATGAAAGCAAGGCAGCAGGAATCAAATGACACCCTTGGCCTTTTCTTAAAGGAGCATGTGCATATGACAGGTGATTTACACAGACACACAAACTAATTTTTGTCGCACAAGGACACAAAAACTTTGGGTGTAATGAGAAACTAAGGCCTCAAATCACAAGACGATAAATTGAGTGTCAGAACAGGCCAGCCAAGGTTGCGCGCTGAGTGGCCAGAATACAAACACACATACACACTTCTGGTCCCTTCAACAACATGACAAAACAAGTACATATGCTGCACAGGTAACACAGTGCATCATGTATACTTCTTTCTGAATAGGAGAAGTGGATTGTGGGTATTTGCAAAACATTTCCAAGTAATGTGTCCAGAATAAAAGCTTAAAGTTTCATAATAGGAATCTTACTTATTTTTACTGATTCCACATGCAACCGTAAGCAGGCACAATTTCAAGAAATTTGCTCACTTGGTCAAACAGTCCTGTGTGAATATACTTTATCTTATGTCAGAGAGATGCTGAATATTAATCACGTGGGCAAACATGTTCTACTGAACACCAAACAGGTGGCAAAAGATATAAGATTTCTTTCTGTGAGACTTTTTTTCTATGGCATAAAGGAATGTGAGCAGCAAACCTTAGTAATCCCAATTTCCTCTCATTTAAATAAACGTTAGTAACTGATGTCAAACAGAACTTTCTGCTACAACTCAAGCCAATGTGCAATTCTTATTCTGACTCTATGCAGAGCATAAATTGGATTTGAATTTACTGTAATTTGGATTTCAGCTAAGCCACAAACATGAAGCAGAGGATACAGAGAATGCAGTGTCAAATTAAGCCGTTTGCCTGGAACATCTGGCAGTCCAGTTCCTGGACAATTTTCCTGGATGTTACAGTGTGAATCAACGTCTATCCAAATGTCAGAGGTTTATGTAAAAAAATGTTAACTTCCTTCGCTATAGTGTAGTGAGCAAATGAGGGCTCAATGAGGGCTGATGACAGCCAAATGTTATCTTAGAATAGTGATAAATTTGCACTCAAGTGAGCAACGGCTGAAAGCAGTCCTGTGTATTCTTAACTCTACTCCACTCTGGTGTTGCCTCCATCAGGGGCTCATTTTCCAAAGAACTATCAACATAATGATACCTCTTTAGGGCCTAACCACATCCAAATCAGTTAGTAAACAACCCAAACGGGGATCTGTACACATTTTTACAGACAATTAACTGTTATCACGAGGGGCCCAAATGGATTAGTAGGCTCATTAATGTCTGAGGCTAATCGGTCCTTGATTGGAAATGTGAGAGAATGTGAAATAAAGTCGTGGTTTGATCCAAATTGTGTTTGATCATGGCACCGTCTTTAACAACAGCCCCAGTCTGCAAACAGTAATTGAGGGTTTTTTTCTCTAAATCCCCCAATGAAAATCTGGCTTTTACCCTTGTTCCATTTGGCTTCTAAACTACATAAAGCATTAAAATGGATGAAAAATGTTTTGCCTCATAAGCTGCTGCTCTTTTGTGAAAGCCCTGAGATCATTTTGCTGATAACTATTATTTGGTCTTCAAAATAATAAATATCTTTGGTTAGAAAAGTGCCTTTCAGAGCCATTTCAAAGCTGTGCTGATTTAGTGCTACTTGTATTTATATCTCATATTTTGATCCAACCTGAATGGATTTGGCAGCCATTTAATTAAGGGTTTCTCAATATTTCACATCTCTAATATATGATGATGGTAGGAAATAGATTAAAATGAAAAAATTATACTGCAATATCAACTACATCAAACAATTAATTATGATTGAGAATGGTCTGCATTGCTTTTGTTACTTAATTGCAACAAAGTCCAGCCAAGTTTAGAAATCTGGCCTTAATATGTGGAGATTTTTAATAATAATTATTATTATTAAATTAAGAGTCTACAGCCAAGCCGAATACTCTGTGAGGCTGTACTCAGGCACAGCAAGTCATTAGTTTTGCAGGTATTTGTTAAAAAACTAGTACTGAGAATAATAGTTTCACATTTCACTAAAAGGCAGAAATGTCAACCTGCTGTTGGCACTATAGGAAAGGTCAGGGGATCATTCATCCTCTGTGGAGCATGAATGTCTTTCATGGCAATGCATCCAATGTTATTTAGGATATTTCAGCCTGGACCAAAATGGTGAAACAAAAACCAACTGACCTACTGCCAGACAGGCCAACATTGCCAACCATGATGCTAGCATGACAAAAAAACAAAAAAACAATGAAAAACACTGAAAACATGGCTTTTGCACTTTTTATGACTTAAGACATTTTCCAAATTAATATTTCTTTTTTTTTCTTTCTTTTTTTTTTACTGTTTATTAATTGTTGTGCAGCAACAAGGAACTTTAGTTGATTCTGGCAGGCCCTGTGGACAAAAGCGGTAGTGTTTCCACCTCCTTGTTTCATTGATTTCAAGAGGAATCTGACTAAATCCTACCCGGTAGCAGGCATTAGGAATAACTATAAAGAAGTAGCTAATCTTCTCGCTGATGGTCTTGAGTGCTTATGTAGATCATATAGAGTTTATTAAATTGAGCTTGTTTTATAACCTATTCCTTGTAGTAGGTTTAAGTTGAAGTGAGCGTCTCAAAAAGGATGTTTACATGAATCAGGATTTTCAAAATGAATAGAAAAATCACTCCCTGGCCTATCCAACTGCAGGAAAAGAAACTTTCCAATGTAGAAACCAGCCAACCATCCTTAAGTACAAATGTAATTTCCTGAATATTTCTCCTTGATTTGAAATTGTCTTGCCCTGCTTCTAGCATCCCAGAATCAAATTATGGCTTCAGTGGTTGAGCCCTGTGAAGCTCCAGCCAAAAGGATGTGGTCCATTAAAGTACGCCACCATTCCACTAATTATGAAGCAGCCAAAGCAAACTGCACGCACTGCTATCACCTGGCCCTGCTGCCAAATATTGTTCTACGTACAGGATCTTTAGTCTAATGGTTTACAGAGACACTCTCCAAGCCATTGGACATTTAGCCTAGTTGCTATGCAATCCTAACCCTATAATAAAATATATGTACTTAAATGAGACCTCACATACCTGTTTCTATGGTCAAAAGTCCTACTAGCATATCATGTCAATTTCTTCTAAAATCTTCAGAATAATATGTATTAAAATGTTCATATGTTAAAACAATTTCCAGATAAAGCAAACTATAGAGATGATGATTATTTTTCTTTTTGTACATCTTCATTCATCAGTGTGCATTAAAAGGATAGATTCTTGCTTCGCTGCTAGTGTTACAATGGCCAACTCTGAAAATACTTTTTAATCTGTAAATTGTCTGGTGGGATGCTGTAATTAGCTCGTCTGCTCTCTGATATACAATCCTCGGACAGTTTCCCTCTCAGCCGACAAACACAATCCTAATCCAGGAAATAGCCTGCAATCAGAATATTGGAGTTGACATCAGAGGTAGCCACAGAGGCGATTCCCACACACCCCTCCCATAGCTTCAAAGGTCTTCCTGGGCCTGTTATGGGTTTCCCTCGTGATGAAGTGTGACACTCCACAAACACAAAAGCCCCAGCCCTCTCGTGGGTCCGCTTTGCTTTTCTTGGATCACTCCAGTCTGACCAATGCCAAGTCAACTTGGCGGTTGTCAAAACGGGCCCCATATCTCTGAAGAGTGTGTGTGCGTGTGGTAATGTGTTGAGCGTGTGTAGATAGCTTGTCACAGTCACAGGGCCCTGTCTGCGTGTGAGTGCTATCTGTGTGTGGGTATGTGTGTTTGTTTCCACCTTGAACTGATGTAATGTGCACCCACAATCAAAGCCACCACCTAGTTGTCTGTGGGAGTTGCTGGTTTGCCAAAAACCCTCCGTGTACGGTCTCTGGAGACAAATGATTTAGTAATGTTGTTTTTTTCCCCTTCCATTTGAAGATCAAACATCATCATCACCGCAACATTTGTGCCACAGACAAAATATTAATGCTGTACATTTAACTTTCAGTTATTTCTTGATAATGCAAACAGTCTGGTTTTGATTAGTTTTGTTTCCTATGTTCAGCTTTAACCATGTGTCTCTTCTTTCCTTTCATTTTCTATCTACCACTCTCTTTTTTTAAACTCTGCCCCCATGTTTTCTTTCATCTATCCACCTACCCTCCTCAGCGGTCAGTTTTTTTTCCTGCAGTAAGACGTCACCTGTGCTGAATAGCTGGCCGCAGCTAAGCCAGACCAGCAAACTCCCTGCCAGAACACAGCGAGCTCTGGTCTGCCATTTGTCTTGTGGTTTTTGAGTTGGGGATATTTGTCTAACGTGCTGTCCAATGTCAACACTGGCTCTAAATACCCCCGCTGCTGCACGAAGTGGGCTTCCTTTGGGAGGATAAGGATTAATGCTGGGTTGGAGATGAAATAGAGGAAGAGTAGGAGGAGGACAGAGGAGGGATGAGCATTGAGAAAAGGGATTGATCAAGGAAGGTACTGTGTATGTTGATGACAAGCAGAGGAGGCGAAGGATAAGAAGAAAGAAGCATTCAGCATTGGATTTGTGGAGTTATCGTATTCAAAAATGGATCCATTTATATATTAAAATGTTTTTTAATATAAATACAAAAGTTTCTTAAAACAAACCTTTTCCACTTGTGTTTTTCCACACTTCCCAGCCACAGTGTGTACACAGGGGGTTAACCATTTTGGAGCTGTGACAGGCCCTGTGTGAAAGATAGCCTCCGATCATTCAGAACCATTTCTAAACCTGTGACTAACCATAAATAACAAACAAAATCCAAGGCCTCCCACCAGCATTAACACTGGCATCGCCAGATGAGAAACTGTCTGCTAGATAGGAGATGACCTCAAGTTTACGGCCTAAAACCTGTTGATTGTAAGCAATTGATTGTCACCCGTAAGACAGAGCCTCCACCTCCATCAATCCCCCCTTCCACCGTCTCAGCAAGAACAAGATGAATTCTAGCAGCGATTCTGCCATGAGAAGCACATCAGTGGCCTCTACCTTTTCTTTTATGAGGCGAATTCCATACACTGGCCCCAATATTCCTGGTTACTGGAGTCTGGTGATTAAAGTGTATAAAAAAGGGGGCAGCACCACTAAAAGGCAGTGATTTAGTGAGCTGTCACCCCAGTTCAGGCGGGGCAACAAGTTCAAGTCCCTGCAGGAGGGTTGTAATGAAAATGAAACAAGGAAAGAGACGGTATTAGGGAGGAGAGGTTGGAGGGCTAGAGGGTCGAGGGGTTGTGAAGGGGTAGGAGGTGTGAGTGGGTTGGGGTCATCTGGAGGGTGGTGATGGTGATGATCATAGGGATGCATGGGTTCAGATTTTCAGTTGTATGAGTATGCATGTTTGTGGATGTAGGTAAACATGAAGTTTTAAGATTGATTTCCTGCCTTGTGGTCAGCCACTGAGATCCATACATTTCACTGTTGTATGAAAACCAACAATCTCAGTGATTATATCATCATCATGATGTTGCCTGTCTTGAAGACTTTTCCAGATGGTGTGACTTTCAGGATTTGGCAGCCAAACAACAATGCTAGGTAACATTGAAGATTTAAAAAAAAACAACATGTTGCTTGCTCATTGTTTGTCTACCAAGTTTGATTTTCTGGCAATACAGCTTATGAATCCAGTAAATTTTTGCTAGCATACATGATATGCACCAAAGAAACATTTCAGAATGGTCCCTTTACACTGTTTAAATGTAACACTGACAAAGGTGACAAAATGTACCTTTTGATAGATTATAAATCTTAAAAATATTTCAAGTTTCATATGGTGTGCTTTGGAGTATGACCTGCAGAGATTTGTAGTAACATCTCGCTTTTTAAATATGTACAAAACACAGAAATGACAATTCCTCATTTTACTATGTGCTGGACTATTTATTGGGATCAGTAACTTCCTGGAGTCTCTGCTGGTTGCCTGGCAACTGCTCCTAGTCAAAGAAATAGTCCAGTACTAAACAGTGAATTTTAGCTTTTACACTTTGGTTTTTGTACAGATTAACAAATATAATGTGTTAATTTGTGAGCTTTGGGGGTCCTGTTTAGGTCCCATTTAGACAAGTTCAGGCTAGCTGTTCCCCTCTGTTTCCAGTCGTTATGCGAGGCTAAGCTGCTACATATTTAGGCTACTGTACAGGCATGAAAGAGGTATTGATCTTCCCATCTAAGTCCTCTGCAAGAAATAATATATATTTTTCCAAAAATGTTGAACTTTTGTTTTAAGTCATCTAGGCCTTGGCACACGTTAAGAACTACTGTGTGAGGGTATTGGTGTGAAGGAGTTAACAGACGTACAATGTCAGCACTGAAAAGAAGGGATTACTGGGTCCCTGACCCTCCACTAACCTCGTCCTGACCTTGTAAAAACCCTGACCCCATCATTTCCACCCTTACAGGATTCATCTGCTGGCTGGACTGCCTGCCTCTCATCTGTGGGAGTGGGGTTTGATGCCTTCAAGTACCAGCCAGCTATAAAAGACACATCCTGATGGGCCTTCCTCTGTTGTGTTTAATAGCTGTCTCACCCCACCCTACCCCACCAACCTCCCCCATCCTGACCTCCACCACCACATCCACCCTCAGCCTCTGCTCTGGCCCTTGGCTAACCTCTCGTATGCAGGGTTCAGGGTCAGGGCAGCAGACTCCCAGCCAATTGGGCGGTTGCCCAGAGGAGCTGATGCAGGAGAGACGTAAGAGACCCAGAGACCCCTCTGATGTTCCCGAGAGTTTCCAAAGAGGGAGAGGCTGCGTACTGTTTACAACATCTTTAATTTAGGGAGGGAAGGAGCGACACACAGGCTTACACAGAGCATGACGAAAGAGCGGTACAGTGTATAAATAAGTGTCACGTAAAAAGAAGTATGTGGCTCTTTCATTGCAGTCAAACAGCTGAATGAAGACAGATAAAAGAGTGACATGCACATTAATGCTTTCTTTGATGTAGTTCTGGGACTCAAGCCCCCTTTTTTTTTTAAAGTGCGCACAAACTTTCTTTCATTGCAACGTAATGAGATCATTCTTAAGTGACAAACAGCCGAAGATAAAGACACACAGAAGTTTAGTTTAAGATTACTGGCCAGTCATGTTCTAGTTCTGGACAGAAAATAACCAAAAAAGAGAAATGCAGACAAAAAATAAGATGAGAGAAAGAAGAGACAGTAAAAAGTGGAGAAATTAGAACAAGTTGTGACATTATGGAGTGTTTTACAGAAAGCATCTAAATCAGGGTACATTTCGTTTTATGAATTTGTTTGTTCAGCTAATTTCACGGAGGACAGTGAATGCTACTTCTGCTCATTGCTACTTAATGAAGTCTCTTCCGGCCTTGAGAGCACTGATTCAAGAGCCGGGTATCTGCTTCTTCCTGCTGCAGGACAAACCTCTAACATTTTAAAATGATGTGCGTGGGAATATTTGACATTATCAATTTATGTCTGTGCTTCTTTTGTTTCCTGCGGATATGAAATACCATTCTGCTGTTGTTCCTTCTTCTAGCTTATTTCCTAAGCAACTATGATTGTACAGTGGACCAAAACAATGGATGTAACTCTTTTAAGGAGCGTATTTCGCAGTAAAGACAACGACAATGCAAACAATACACGTAACACCCACAAAGCCCACTTCCTGAAATGGATTCTTCGGAATAACAAATGTTGGCTGCTTATGGCTCTCTGATGGCTTCATTTTTCACTCGGTATAACTCGCTAATTTTTACTGCTCAATGTCCTCCACTCAGCCTGTGTCACTAAGTCATAAGCATGCTGCTCCTGGCTGATATATGGGTCTGCACGATGATGTCAGCGAAAAACACTTTCAATAATTGCTATGATTAATATTCTCAACCTTCCAACACCTTCCCTTCTCCATCCAGCCACATATCTCCAGCAAGGTTCATCTATCAGTCTGCTCTCAAACTGTTTAAGTCCTCCGAGTGATGCATGGCACACTGCCAACCCTGTGTTCCAATGCAAACTATTTACATTCATTCAAATTATGAGTCGATGAGCCTCCGGTGCATAAAATTACCATGAGTTAAAGAGGTAGAAAGAGGGAGAGGATCAGAGTATTTACTATTTAATTGTTTCAACTTCATTGTGCAACAAAGGGGAATTTTCCCTGTATATCAGTTGGAATGATGATATCAAAACGTGTTGTGTTTGTCTTATTTTCCAAACAGTCTTTGCTATTAATTATTAAGTGAATACATGTGAATTTTACAGCTATAAAAGTGTTTATTTACCACATTTACCCTGTCTATGTACATGATCACAATGTCCTACAGCTGGCTCCACCGGCTGGAATGTGCGTCGAGCTCTCACAGGACGGGCTTCCTCTTGGCCTGCACTCTAATTGTTTAGGAGGAAAAAGGTGAAACAGATATGTATAAACAGCGGAGGTCTTCCAGAAAGTCCAGAGTGGCGTATAAAGGGCCTGGGACAGTAGCTGACCTGTCATATTCACCATTCACACTGAGAAGTCAGGGCTGCCATATTCTGTCTACTGGCATCAGAAAAAATAAACTCTCGCTTCCTCAATGTTGATGGACAAATTCATTCTCCAGAGGAAAACACTACTCACACAAGCTGGCTTTGAACAAGTCAGGCAATCTGCAGTACATATACAATAATACAACAGATAATTATAGAGTATACAGTAGATTATTGTGACTTGTGCTTCACTAAATGAACTATAGTCAGTCCAAATTAATGTTTAAAGAAATATACAGTAAATAGAATCTTTTGCACTCTCTGGGACCAAGCTTGTATTAAACAATCCAACTATTTCAGGGATATTGGTACAACTTGCTGATACTTGCTTTCTGGCCCTTTGTCATAAAATCTATGAAAATAATTTATTTCATGAACTGTACACTTTGAAAACTGGACTATTGACTGAACGATGTTTGTGCATTTTGTCTGTGTGATTTCAGCTGATTATATACCGATTTTCTTCAACCATATACTTAAATTATATGCTTTGTATATGCTGGTTTAGGACAAGATACTACAGTGTATGTTGTTTATGTGATGTGAGGAAAAGATTACAAATTGTACATGTGACATAGCTACATGTGTATTTTGTATGCATTTCTATGTCTCACGTTTTAATGAAGGTGGAGAGGTAAAACGTTCATGTCTTAATCTTTCTTCACTCAGTATAAAGCGACTTTATATATATTTATACAGCAATGAATGAGTATCTGTCCTATGTAGGCTATGCAGATAAGTATTTTGGGTATCTGTATGTATTTTTTTGTCACTTTCTATTTTGAGTTGTTTTGTCTTAATGCCTGTGCATCTGTCATGCCGGTTCATGCAGCACTTCATTGTCTTTGTGTATCCAAAAAGTGCTGATCATAAAAAAGAAATATGGTCATCGCTGGGAATATGCCAGCTCCCTGTATGAATGAGATCCTTAGACAGTGATGTTCAGTGTAACAAATTGATAGGAGTCAATTAAGCATCTATTATTAACCTCCTATGGTTCATTGTCAATTATCTGTCCCATTAACTCTGTAATATTGTACGCAGTATGTGTTTAACACTGAGGAGATCCAGCATGGCTCATATCTAATCTGCACTTATGAAAAAATTGCAGAAATGATGACTTTTAATGTCAATTCAATTTAATTAGATTTAATGAAATGGTTAAGGTCATTTATACCTCTGTTCCTTGGCTCTTAGATGATTTATAGTAATAATAAGGTATGCTTATATAGATTAGTCATAAATTCCCCACACTTGTTCTACAGTCTTAAAGTCAAGGCACAAAGATGTTTTTCTGCAGTGATTACCATATTAAAGATAATATTACTGTCCACTTCAGAGATGGTAGGGAATTACTTATATCTATTTAAAGGCATGGGAAGTTTTGGAGAAAGACATTTCTTCAAAAATAAATGATCTGTTCCTCGTCAGAGAATGGCACATGCTGAAAAGCTCCACAGAAAAGATAATCACCACCACATGGAAATAATGCAAATTTATCACATGTGGCGGGTGCAAAAAAGTCCAGCTATTTCTTCCATGTTGCTTCGATGTCTGTGTTACGTGATGCCAATTCCTGCTGTGTCCCTCTTGATGTTCATCAGCAAACCACTGTGCTTGTAACAGGAAATCATTCTACTGCTGCACTGACTTGGTCCTATTTACACAAACTCCCCCAAAACACTTAAGACAGGATATTTGATTGTGAGAAGTCTTTTCCATGTTGTTTTCCCAGAGCTGGCCGTCACCCTGGGTTAAAGCATAAACACATGAAACACACAACTCACAGCATTGCTTACATAGAAAAAAAAAATATTAAAGACCTGCTAGTCATTAGAGACTTGGGTTGCATGTTACACAGAACTGGTTTGGTCCGACTGTTTGATGTCATTGTTTTTGTCTACAATGTACCGAGTCAGTCATGTGTTATACCTACTGTGTTGAGACAGATTGCATCAAGTAAATGAGTATAGGAAACAGATCACATTGTAAACTATTTGCAGCAGTTAGAATACAGCACCAATCACAATGACATTCAGGGAGCATATTATGCGAACTTTCAATTCTTCTGAGAGTTGGGAAGGAAACCATTCAAACCACAGAAATCCCAAATACCAGCTGGCTAGTTGCTGACATGAAAATCAGTGCTGCCAAGCCAGACATGCTGTCATCTGACCCCCCTGAATGGACTTCAACTGCATACACTTGGGCCTTGAATCAGTTTCTGGACATCCTTTCAGTAGGAATAGACCAGCAAAGTCCCCGTGGTAGAGTCCTTACCAGCCATTTTTGCTAATAGCTCTTCCCTGAGAGATTTATGATCCAGAGACACGGGACAATTAGAGAAAGGGAAACACAAAAGCCCAGAGCTCTCCAGAGAAGATTTACAGTTTACAGAGGTGCTATTTTTGAAATTGAAAGTCTGATTAGAAAGTGCTGATGGCCTGATCCAGCAGAAGACACTGTCACATGCACAGTGTCAGGTTCATTCAAGAGTCACTTAACCGGTGGCCTCATTACATCCTCTCAGGGTCCATAGTCCTGCGCTGTGACTGACATCTTCTCTTTGTTTGTTCACTGTTGTGATACTGCCATTAATGTGGGCAGATGTAATAAATGAGTCACAATGAGATATATGGCATGATGGCAGAGTTCACTCAGTACAGAGTGTCTTAGGTTACCCCCACCACCACTGCCACCAACACATCTCCACTCAGGAGGTGAAACAGGAAACACTTGTAGTCATGTTCCAATACTCCAGGAACTTGGAGTTCTGTAACAGGCAGGGGATATAAGACTCCATGATAGAGAACACAGACATACTGAGGCGAGGGGGGCTCAACAATATTTGCATGGCATACAGACATTATTACAATGACATTTACATGATGTCCAGGTCAGCTTGTCTGAAAACGTTCTATGGTTAAACTCAACGGCCACATGACATTCATTATGTCATCCTCCATACATACGAGTCATTATTTTATTGAAACACCACTGACTTTAAGGGTCTTTGATCCTCAGCTAGATTTGAAGTGAACCCCCAACACTTGATTCAATGCATTAGGGGTCAAGATTGTCAGGATCAGGATCATACTGTAAGATCACTTCTTAAAATGTATTTGTGTAATGAAGTCTTTCTTTAACCTGCGTGTGTTGGATCTTATTTACGCCATCAAACACAAACAAAGATTATAGAGATTTCTGTAATGACACTAAATCTACAGTAAGACCGTACATCTTTTACTGTCTTCCTCTCTGTGCACAACATATTGCTCAGTGATTGTGTTCTCTGATTGTCCGTGTTTAATGGCAGCCTCCATCTGCCAGCCCTGTGTGTCTGCAGGCTAGCGGCCCGCGGCGCCCCACATTAGGGCCTGTTGGCGCGGGCCCCAGGCGCATTCCGCTTCTGGAAGTGTGATTATTGAGGCCTGATTACAATGTCTGCGACCACGATAACAAACCAACCCTCGCTGAGTGCTTGGCAATCTCATTGCAAAACAAAACGGCTGAAGAATTAATGACGCTTCAAACTCGGACAGGTTTTTTAGTGCTGATAATCTAGATCCAGGGTAATTTGCAGCAATTGGTGGCATATGGTTTGGTTTTACACTCGATGTCCAGCAACAGATATGAAATCTGTTGGACTGGGAGTGATATGGCACCACATAAACAAATCCATCCAAGTTAATTTAGAGTGGATAAACAAAAATAATAATAAACACAAATGAACAAACGACCAATAAGAAAAAAAATATTTGGAAAACGAGAAAAGAAAATAGATGAAAATGAAAAGACAAGAAATAAAAAGAAAAAGAAAAATGAAAAAGAGGAGCTTACAAAATCAAACAGTCATCAAAACAGCAGTTCATCTGTCTGGTTTGAGTTTTCCACAGGATGTCCATGGGGTGGCTAAAGCTTGTCGCTGTGGAGACGGAACCAAAGAACAGAGAGCATGCTGCTTAGTGTTTGACACACACCTGAAAGCCCCCATGTTCTCTTTCTGTAGAAGTGCCTGTGGTGGTCTCCAACTGCCAGCTTGTTTTTGAGGGGTACTCATTGCTTCATCCCTGCCTCCAGGCAAAACTCCATCCCTATCCCCACCTCCTCTCTTTTTCTCTTTTCCTATTCTCCTCCTCCCCTCACTCATCAACTCCCTCTTTTGCTCAAACTACTCTCACTCTCTCTCTTCTCTCTGTTTCTCCATCTCTCCATCCCCTCAGGGCAGCAGGTTCGGGTAGAAGTCTATTGCAGCGATCAGAGCTGATAACCTGTATTCTGGACAGGCGTGCCACATGGGTCCACACCTTGCCCGAGGATAGGTCCATCCATGCTGGGGGCAACAGAGGCACGGGGGCCATGGGGCTAAGGCCGGGGGCTAGGTCTAGAGTCAGGGCTGGGAGCTTGAACTGCAGCAGGAGCAGGGGGGAAATGGACTGGATGCTGGGACAGCAGCTGCATGAGCCTGAAGGCCAGAGCATGCGGAAGGGGGCACAGAGAGGGGTGAGGGGCAGAGACATGGAGCCAGGAAGAGAGGCAAGGTTCAGGGTTAGTGACAGGGGTCTGCATGGTCCAGCTGAGGCTCTACTGATCCATGGTTGAGTGGAGCTGACAGGTGAGAGAACAGCACCACCCCTAATGATGGCAGCCAAGGTAGGAGTTAGGGGAGATGTTGGTGCAGGTTGGCGTGTGAGCTCGTACTCTGTCTGATGGGGTGGTAGACGGGTGAGTAGAAAGGAGGGGAAGAAGCGAGAGGTGGACACAGAGCTGTGGAGAGTGATGGAATCAAGCGTTATAGCCTGCTGTGTGTAAAGCTTTTGTTTATACTAATGTTTCAAATCAAAGATCAATTGGAGGCCTCACCCCAGCTGTTTCTGTGTTGCAGCTATTTTGCTGTAGCAGAACCAGAATACAATTCACACAATCAACTTCACACAAATGAATTTTATAGGCAGAATTTGTATTTGCATAATAAATGTTGAAAGTCAAGTTGTTCACGTTCTTCCACTTTTCACCATTCACACGGTAATAATGCTGTTTTTATTCACTTAGCTAGCTCCACAGTGTCTGACAATGGGCCATGTGTTCTGCCTCCACTGACCTAAAAAGTCCTTTTTTCAAGACTGCAGAGACCACAAGCTTGAATAGTTGGTCAGTTGAATTATGACAAGGCGCTGTGTGTAATCATATCTGTGCATTTGTGCATGTCTTTTCGTGTATGTATGTTAGTGTTTGTTAGATATGTATGTTTGTTGCAGAGGCAGGACTGTGGGGCAATGCTCCATCTGCCTAGCTGTCTGGATTGGCCGGTCTGTGCCGCCCCAATTCCATCACCTTCCGTGGGTTTGGGGGTTGGTGGGTGTGGTGGACGATTGGGGGAAGGAATGGTGGTGGTGGGGAGTGTACACAAAAAGTCACCCTGAATCTGCGAGCTGATTAATCAAGGGTGATTCGGCGGCAAGCGCAGCCTACCCGCTCCTTCCTGGCTAGTCCGTGTGTATTTATTTAGAGTAACCCGTGGCCAGTCACGCCTGACCTCAAACCATCAGGAGCAGCCACAGTTGCGCCCAAGCATAAACAAAAAATGCGTAATGAAGGTAAGAGGACAGAGGACAGGGTGGTGTGGGATAGAGGAAGGAGGGGAGAGACGGGGGGCAAGGGGAGTGGGAGGAGGGCAGGCACTCTTTCTTTTCTCAGAGATAGGGATCTTGAGCTTCACAGCAGAGCTCAGGGGTCCAGACACTGAGCTGAAATAGCTGCCTGTGTCCTGGTGTTTACTTCTCAGCTGACATGGGAAGGGAAATCATTGACCTCTGTCGGAGCAGCCAGGGTCCATCCATCTTCCAGGCTGATGGTATTTTTTGTTGGGTATCAAATAGCGGGTGGGGGTGGGGGTGGGGGGACTTCCTACATGCATAAAGAGTTAATTGGCCAGGCTACACAACTGAGGAGAGATTATTCATAATTTTATGAAAGTGAAAATATGCCGTGGTTACAGATGTGAGTAGTTTTTTGAGACAAAAACATGTGAACCACAGTTGGGTGCCAAGTTAAGATTCAATTCTATTCTATTTTTTTTTCATGTGTTCTAAACCAACAGTCTCCTTTGCTCCCCTTTTCTAAAATGCTCCAGTTCATATTGGGGTTAAAAGCATCAAGCTTGATCAATTTCATCATCTTAGCTGTGATGTAAGTAGCACGGCAAGCAGGAGAACAGAAACAAACAAACTCCAAAGATGGAGCCTCTATAGAGAGTTATTGATCGAACATGAAGGTTAGCCAGAAGTCTGAGAAGGTTGGCTCTCAGCGGTCCCATGTGGCGCCGAGAGGCCCAACTCTC